ACCCAAATGAGTGGAAGTGCTAGTAGTGTTGCAGCGCCTGGAAAATCCGCAACACCAGTTTTGGCTCTCCCTGCTCCAGATGATTCAGTTCAAACGGTTGGTGGAGACCCGTTTGCTGCTTCTTTGAGTGTTGCACCCCCTGCATATGTACAAATGGCTGATATGGAGAAGAAACAGCACTTGCTTGTGCAAGAGCAGGTTGTGTGGCAACAATATGCCAACAGTGGTATGCACGGTCAAGCTACTTTGGCTAAAATAGGAGGACCTGCCTATTATACTCCTGGATCAAACTCAATGATGCCCGCTGTTAATCCAATGATGCCGTATGGTCAATATGGAATGCCGCCACCCAATGGCTATTACTACAACCCCATCTGATTTTTGTGCCCATATATGTGTAGCTGACCTTTTTCTTTTCCTTTTGTTTGTTTTTTAATTTTTTTTTTTGTGATCCCGATGTTCATTGTATCACTTGTTTGTGATTATATGTTCACTTCTCCATGGATAAGAGTCGGATGGAAACAAGAGAGTAATGGAGCAGAATGATTTATGATTTGGTAAAGTTTATTCCGGGAGGGGCATTGTCTTGTAGTATTGCACCTCTGATTTGTACTATTAATTTTATTTCTTGAACGTATAATACGTGTGAACAACACTATATTCATCGAGTCTTAGAGTAATAAAATTTTTCCTCATTTCATCTTGTATCCTTGTTGAGCAATGTAAAAACTTATGTCATAACTTACATTACATGTTGATCAATTCTAATGTACTAAGCATAGCGGAAAGTAAATTTGTTCAAGCAGAATGTCTCAATTCCTGAAAGATGAAAAGAAAGGAACTCCTAACTCCTACAACCTACAGGGGAAAACCGTGAGCGGGAGTAGTGAACCCGTGCAACGGCCTAGTTTGTGTGATTTATGGAGCCAACAGCCAACTGTAAATGGTATGATTGTAGTTGTAATGTTGCTGCGATGCAAATGAAAGCGTCGGTTGAAGGGGGACTCGCAGGAGTTGAGCTGTTTACCTAATTCAATTCTTTGGTTGAAAGAGTACGGTACCACCTTTATTGCAAAAGGACATAGGACTATGACAAAGTGACATAGAGTATATCAATATGTTTCTTTGGTAAACGACTAAACGATATTGACCAAAATAATGGTCCTGATTTCCTCATAGTTACAAACCCACTTGTTCAGCTTCTAGATTTTATAAAGAAAAAATGAAAGTTGAATAAAGATGGAACATAAGAAAAGAGGCACGATTCGCACGAACCATCCAATACTTCCAATATTTCTAACGTAGTCTTGTTGTGGGTGCTTGAAGTGTTATGTCAACAATTCAACTTAGTTTGAATTTTGAAAGGTTGTAACTTGTAACAGTTGTAACTTGTAAGTCTTGTAAAGTTATAATCACTCTTATCATTCTTTATACAACATGAACAAATGTTTAACATGATAGGATTTGATTAATGATATATGCTAAACCGGTAGAATTATGTGACATATACGAATAATATAGATTTGCCTAGAGAAGATCTATGTAAATCTCAATTATGAATATTATGATCCTATTCTATTTATTTTATTTTTACTTATTTTAAAAAATAATCAAATTTTATTTGTTAAGATAAATTTAGGAAAAAATAGCCAAGTGGGGAGGAAATTAAAAATGCTCTATTTCAAATGCACCCGAACAAAGCACCCGGAACCGATGGTATGCATGCTCTATTTTTTCAGAAATTTTGGCATATTGTTGGCTCTGATATTATTGCTATGGTTAAAAATTGGTGGAATGGTTTGCTGGATATTTCGGAAATAAATAAAACTTGTATTGTGCTTATTCCGAAATGTAATGAACCAAAAAATATGACGGAATTTAGACCAATTAGTTGTTGTAATGTGGTTTATAAAATAATATCAAAGACGTTGGCTAATAAATTAAAGCCTTTTCTTAATGATATTATTTCCGTCAATCAAAGTGCTTTTGTTCCGGGGAGGTTGATAACGGATAATGCTTTAATTGCATTTGAAATTTTTCATCATATGAAGAGAAGGGGTGAAGGTAGACATGGAACGGTGGCTTTGAAACTCGACATGAGTAAGGCCTATGATAGGGTGGAGTGGCAATTTTTAGAGCAGGTTATGGGCAAAATGGGCTTCAGTTCCGGATGGATTGCTAGAGTAATGCAATGCATTTCTAGCGTATCTTTCTCTTTTAAGGTGAATGGGGATATATCTGGTAATGTAGTGCCTTCTCGTGGTCTTCGTCAAGGGGATCCTATCTCTCCATATTTATTCTTACTGTGTGCCGATGCTTTTTCTACTCTTATCTCGAAAGTGGCTCATGAGAAGAAAATTAGTGGTGCAAAAATCTGCCGGGCTGCACCAAGTGTGTCACACTTATTTTTCGCCGATGATAGTATTTTGTTTGCAAAAGCTACTCTGCAGGAATGCTCTAAAATTGCTGATATTATCAGTATCTATGAGAGAGCATCTGGTCAGAAAATAAATCTTGATAAGACGGAGGTTGCTTTCAGCAAATGTGTTTCGGTGGAAAGGAGGAATGCTATAATTGAGACTCTTGGTGTTAGAGAGGTAGAAAGGCATGAAAAATATTTGGGTTTACCTACGATAATTGGTAAGTCTAAAACAGCTATTTTTGCATGTTTGAAGGAGAGAATATGGAAGAAGGTGAATGGTTGGAAGGAGAGATTGATGTCTAGGCCGGGGAAGGAGGTGCTCATTAAAGCCGTCGCTCAAGCTATTCCCACGTATATGATGAGTGTGTTTAAAATTCCGAAGGGGCTCATTGATGAAATTCATAAATTACTCTGCAGATTTTGGTGGGGGTCGAGGGAAGATGTGAAAAGGCTACATTGGCAAAATTGGGAAAAACTTTGTGATCCAAAGAAAAAGGGAGGGATGAATTTTAGAGATCTTAAGTGCTTTAATCAAGCTTTGCTTGCAAAGCAACTTTGGAGACTACATACTAATGAGTCAACGCTGCTGCACAAAATTTTCAAGGCAAAATATTTCAAGAACTCTTCGGTGATTGAGGCAAGGCGTGGTTTTAACCCGAGTTATACGTGGAGGAGCTTGTGGGGTGCAAAAGGACTGTTGCGGGATGGTTTGGTTTGGCGTGTAGGGAATGGATCAAACATTAATGTATGGTCTGATCCTTGGCTTGTGGTTGAGGGGAAGCCGACCTTTATTCCTATGCTGAGTGGTGGTGATGCTAATTTGAAGGTGCGTGACTTGCTGAGTGAGAATGGGTATGAATGGGATGCTGTGCAAATTACAAGCCTGGTGGGTAGTGATCTGACTGCTCAGATATTGGCTGTACCGTTGCCTGAGAGAAGCTGCTCTGATGTGCAATATTGGGGCTGGTCGAAGGATGGTATTTATACGGTCCGATCGGGCTATTGGTTAGCGAAAATGGGGAATGATAATGCTACAAATGACATGGTGGATGAAGGTATCTGGCAGTCAGTTTGGAAAATGAAGGGTCCCCCAAAATTGCAACATTTTATATGGAATGCAATTAAGGGAAATATGGCTGTGAAGGCAAGGCTCATGCAGCGACACATTGTGGGGGATAGCAATTGCCAAATATGTGATGCGGAGGAGGAGACTATTTTACATGCTTTACTACATTGTGAGGCAACTCTGGTTATTTGGGAACATAGTGATCTGAAATTGAACCTCTTTGATGCTCCGTTGGATTCTTTTGGGGTGCTTTGGGAGTGGATGGTTCGTAAGTTTGATGCTGCAACGGTGTGCACTATGGCTGCTCTCATGTGGGCTGCTTGGAGGTGTAGGAATGTGTTAATTTTTGACAACGAAAGACCAAACTTCGTGATGGTTGCTGCTGGTTTCTGTAAGCTAGCAGAGGAGTACAATGCTTATGCACGCAAAGTCTTCCAGCAGGCCGTGATTAATGGCATGGTGAGCAGATTTTCGAACTGGCAGCCATCGAGTAATGGGTGCTTAAAGATTAACATTGATGCTTATGTTCCCCCGAATGGAATGGCTGGGTTGGGCGTGGTAATCCGTGACCATGAGGGCAACATCATCCTGACAGCAACAAAGAAGGTGATTTGCCCAAAACCGGAGATTGCGGAAGCTTTGGCAGTGAGATATGGCTTGAAGGTGGTAATGCGCATGGGGTATAGGAAGGTGTGGGTCGAATCGGATGCGGTTAATGTCATTAAGCAGGTGAATTCAATGGATAAAGGTCTATCTCCGATCTTTGTTATTTTTGATGACATTAGCATAGATAGAACATGGTTTGATTTTTGTATGTTTTCTCATGTGAAGCGATCTTGTAACACCGTAGCTCACTTAGTTGCTAGGTGGGATACTAATGTACACATGAAATATGTACGGTTGGAATCCTTCCCTCAAAGTATTACTACTTTGGCGGGAATGGATGTCACTTGATTTGAATAAAATTTGCTCTATCGTTCCCCTCAAAAAAAATTCAAATTAGATTAGCTCATAATTTTTTATTTTAATTAAATTCATATCATTAAAAATCAAGTGAACAAAATACACTTATCCCTGATTCAGTCATTCTCTAAAAGGTTAAAAGTTTGACTTCGATTAAGGGGCTGTTTACATTGACTGAACTCAGATGAACTGAACTAAATTGAATATTTTATAAGAGAGGGAATAAGGAGCTGAACTGAATTGAATTGAGCTGAGCTGAACTGAATAGAACTGAATTTCAACGTAAGAGAACAAACCCAAATTCGAATTTTAGGAGTCAATTTTCTACTCAGTAAAGCTAATTTGAGTTAAAACATGTGAGAGTTTCGGGCTACAAAGGTTGGGTGTTCGAATCCCCTTATGCGTCTCTTAGTAACGCCTTTTAATATATTAGTATAGATTAGGCTAAATTACCCTTGTATTCCACCACTGTACTTTCATTAACCCCTTTTCTTCATCAACAAAACCCTAGAAAACAAAACTCAATCACAAGCTCCCAAAGCCACAACAATGGCGGACGAAGATCCAGACTCTCTCACCCAGTTAATCATAAACCCTAATTGGAGAAAACCCATCAATGGCCGCTTACCTCCAGACTCACTCACCCAAATCTGGGCTCGTCTTCCCGTAAAATCCCTCTACAAATTCCGATCCGTTTGCAAACTCTGGAATTCCCTCATTTCTTCGGACCCTCTTCTCTCCGATCTCCGCCACCAATTCCACCACTCAATCCCGCCGCCACCGCCGCCGAATCTCATCCTCTTCCTCCGCCACCTCCCGGATGAATCGGTCAAAGTTCCCGATCGCCCAGTTCATCTCTCAATCCGACCCTTTGAAGAACTCTTCCGGGTTGACCGTGACCCGAATACCCATTCCATCAAAAACGGGTTTACCCCTTATGTTGATTTCTCTCTCCAATTCTTTCCATCAAAGGGTCCAATTGTTTGCTTTGTTTCTGATCGGTATTTTTACCTTTGTAACCCTAGTACTCAGGAATTCCTTCGTCTTCCTCCGGGGCAAAATGGTAATTCCATCACCTCAAATGATGGATTTGGGTTTCTGGGTGATGAGAATCGGTATGTTCTTGTTGGGTTAACCGGTGAAAAGTGTGAATTTTTTGAGTTTGGACCGGGATTAGCCGGTTCCGGTTGTTGGCGACAAATCAAACAGAGTTGTCCTGTTCAGGTGAAGCGGTTTGGGTTAATGGTTAACCGGGAGTTTTACTGGACCGTTGATAATGGACCGGGTTTTGTGGTGTGTTTGGATGTTAAAGAGGAAGAATTTAGGGTAATTCAACCACCTCAAGGAAATCTAAATGAGGTTATATTATATGATTTGTTATATTTGGTTGAATTTAAAGGGTGTTTATGTGCTGTTGATAATTTTTCAATTGCTTCAAGAATGCAAATTTGGGCGTTGAATCAAATTGAAGGTGAATTTATTTGGAATAGAAAGTTTAACATTTTTATATCTGGGATGGCTAGAGATGTGGTGTATCCATTTTGTGATTATGAGGGTGAAAATGGGGGAGATATGGTGTTGTGTAATGAAACAAGAAGCAGGCTTTATAGTTATAATTTGAAGAACCGGAGTATTAAGCAGGTTTACCGGCCTAAACATCGAACTAATGACCGCCTCGCTTTGTATACTCCTGGCCTTTTCCCTCTTTCCATTGCTAGTTGAGATTTTTGGTTATGAATATTATGTCAGGAATTTAGGATTCATGTTGTTTAGGGAACTTGATGTTTTTGTTCACAGCATTATGTTTTGAGCATTGAGCCTTTGTTTCTCTGTACATTGAATTCGAGAAATGTTTAATTGAATAATTGTTACTCCAATGATATTATGGTATTGATTTTGAGTTTGGCTTGTTTCAGCAATGAGTGATCATTACTGAAACAAAGTGTGTATTTGTTTCTGTCTCTGGATAGAACAACAACCCTCTCAATGTGGACTTGTGTGATCAGTTCATTTTGGACAGGACATATGCTGTATGCTTTTGTGAATGGATTTTCTAGCTGGGCTGGTATGCATGAAGCTGTGCTCATCTGTTCCTTCCGATTTGCTTACAGCAACCGCACGTATAGCCTTTGACATTGCAAGTTTGTGTGGCTCCGATGCCAATGGCTATGCTGTGACTGTTGAGCCATTAATTTCATGTCAATTGCTGGACTACATTCTTTATTGACATCTTTCAATTTGAGATTAGAAAGAAGTTCCTGTGAAAGTTTTGCCAAAACGAGCCTTCTCTTGGCAGAGATATTGCTGACTATTTCAGGTGTGAATTGCACTAGTAACTCTTGTTCTTATAGCTTTTCTTGAAAAGCATTACAAGATCTTTGCTCTGTTTCGTGCTAACATCCTTTTTTATAAACGCGCTGTGTGAGTAGACATCTACCCTGATGGCCTGAGGTGCAGCTCGAAGCTGGACATGGCTCATAACATAATTGATAAAAGATTGGCGTGAAGTTATGAACCAATCTATATTTTTTGTATTTATTTTTATATTGTAATGGTTCTATTTCATTTGTGGAAGTAGATGATTTGCATTGGTGATGAATCACTTCACATAGAACACTTTTTTTTTTGCTTCTTGAAATTGTATGTGTTATCTTATTCTTTTATATTATCTTGTTTATTAAGGCATAAGAATTCTGAAAGTGATGTATGGAGAAGTTGTATTTTGCTAGAGTGATCATAATGTCGACATTTTTACCAAATATGATGTGGCTTAAGCAACTGATCTTCCACTATACCAACTCCAAGAATCATTAGTGAGGCAGAGGAATATGTCTAGCAAGAGCAATCCTGCCTTTACAACTTGCTCGGAACACCCGGGCTTAGTTTCATCATGGGCTGAAGCAATTGCTAGGTGTGAGCATCTCTTAACAGAAATCCTCGTCCGACTGCCTGCAAAGTCCCTGATGAAGTTCAAATCTGTCTCAAAACACTGGAACTTCCTCATATCAGCCCCATACTTCTCTCTCCATGCTTCACAATTCGAAGGATTCTATGCCCGTCTCTGGCATTTTCCTACGCAGGAGATGTGTTCCATCGCCTTATGCTTACCGGTTCCTTCCTGTTACTGATTCAGATATTAGTCTCCCATCATTTTCTGAGACATCAAGCTCAACATTTGAAATCCCTGCATTAGCTGGCCTGGTTGTATCAATCTTGCAGTCTTGCAACGGGCTACTGCTCTACTACAGCATCAGTCCGAGTAATTCCCAGGTTCTGAATCTCCATGTTTGCAATCCCATAACTAGCCAATTGAGAACGATTCCAAACATTCAGTACTCCTTTTTATCAGCCTCTCTGGCTTTTAATCCACGCAGCTCAAGCTATGGGTACAAGATAGTTTCTGTACACACATCGGTATCACCTGATCATTATGTACTCAAAGTATATTCATCTGAGACTGGGTGCTGGAAAGATGTGGATGGTAGCATCAGGGTTCTAAACGATATGGCTCTCAGGAACGGAGTGTATTGGAGAGGCTCTATCCATTGGGTTTGTAGCAGCGGGGAGTCATTGTACTTGGAGGTTGATGAAGAGCGGGTTGCAAAAATGCCATCTCCTGTTTTCTCCAGGCCAGAAAGAGGGAACGTGAAGTGTTTCGAATGCAAGGGGAAGCTGTGGTGTCTATGGCATGAATACAGTGACATAACTTTGGAAGTTCATATGTTGGACAATTATGAGGCTGGTTGGCTCCTCAAGTTCACTTTAAATCTTGGAGTTGTAAGGAAAGCAAGTTGCTTATCGGGTGCTTATCATCCTGAATTTACAATTCTTTCTCTTATAGTTAGCAGAAAACGTAATGGAGGAGAGAAATGCATGATGGTGGTTATTCATGTCCCTGGTAAAATCTTGGGCTATGACCTGGAGGAGGGAACTACCATGGAGATGTGCAAGATCCCACTGATTGAAGGCGAGGCATCCGGGGAACGCAAATTTTATAGTGGTGATGCTTATATATATAGTTACAGTTTGGCATGTGTGTGAAGTGTGATGCATAAATTTGATCAATATTCTTTGCTGACAGCAATTGTTTGATGTTTTGTTCTAGTAATATACCTCTGTTGTTTAAATGTCTTAATTGTTACTTCTTGCTCTCTCAATGAACTTTTGCAAAAGATGACACATTATAAAGTAACAAATTATTGCAGATTGTTTCAACTCAGTAATACAACCTTTTTGTCTAACTGCATGCAAAATCAAATCTGTCTCATCTAGTTTTTGACCTTCTTGGATATTCCTTCAAAATCGATCTTTAATTTGTAATAATTAAAGCAAATCCAATGAATTATCCCGATTGAGATATGAATATTATGCCTAATTTCAAATTTACTTGCCTTAATGCCAATTCAAATTACACTATTGACGTGATGTAATATGGACAGAAGACATGATATTTACATCTGAAAATTAGTGATGCAGTATTAGTGAATGAGAATTTGGTGGATTGCAAACTGTGTTGCTATGTCTCCAAACTCTGTAGTATGAAATAGGTACTTTATAACAGCAATAAAAATTGATAAGATGCCGATTACAAGAAAGCTCCTGAACCTCAACCAATCAGGACAGCTGATATCACAAATTACACCAATGCTAGCCCCTAATATAGGTCAGAATGGTTGATCACAGTTTCACACATCTTTTTCTTTCTAAAGATACAAATTAGTAAATTCTCCTTGAACACACGTCAAGATTGTCTGAAGATCCATTGTTTCCATGATATACAGTATGGCAATGTAAGAAATACGCAAAGCAGGATCCCTCCTCCAGTATTCAGAACTCGGTTGGGGGCTTCAACCTAACAAGTCTTTTGATTCTTTCTTTGTCAGTATTCTCCAGAACTCCCTGGATATGAAAGGTATTTGTGAATAAGTTTATCTAAAATGTCTCCTGAATATCAATTTAGAAGCATAAATGTGATCAATACGATGGCAAAAAAGTAATGAAGTCCTTACCGTCCAAACAATTTCATCAAGACATAAGCAGATCCTTCCATATTTGTCCAGGAACATGCGTTCAGTTGGTGGTTTTCCGCAGACATCCTTCAACGTCGAGGTAATTATGAATATAACTTCTGACACTAGAAAAATACAATCACCAACATAAGTGCTGGGCACACTCAACCAAAATACAAGGATGACAATTGAGACATATTGTCACGGATCAAACATTTATCAGGTAAACATTTATCAAGCAAAAGTCAAGTTCTCTTTATTATAGTATATAACAGATGCATTTTTTTTTAAAAAATTCTTTTTATAATCATAGAGTAAATGTAAATAATATTTATTCCCATTTGCAACATGTTACCAGGATTTCCCGTCAAAAAAAGAAAAGGCAATGGCAAGTTAGCAATTCAAACTGCACCATACAATGATCATTGTAGCCTAATTCTGACACAGAGAAAAGACGTATACTTACAAGCAAGTTCATCATACTCATCCTTGCCAACAAGATAGATGTGAATTCCTCCAAGCACAGTATAAACAATATACACCGACCTGCATGAAAATAAAAGCACAAAAAGAGAAAAGTGGAATCAATTATACGGAGTAAAATACACCACAACAATACACCCACTATCCGAGTATTGATCCGACTTTGATAATACAATTCAAGTGAGTTCCTAGGTTACAGGAAGGAATCAAGTATTCAGTTGCGTCATTTAGACCTGCAACTAAGATGCTGAAATGATGAAATGATGTGTCTTCTCCAGTGTTGTTAAATCCATATCATAACTTATTTTTAAATGAAGAACGTTTTTGTTCAGGTGAGTCAAAAATACAGGTCATATAACAACAGGAATTTTACATTTCTACAAATTGTGTTGAAAAGGTCATTGATACTTCCAACATAGAACTTAACTACTATGTAATAAGTAACTCGCTAAATTTTGCAAAAGGCAAAAAAAACTTCAAATCATGATCTTCAGTACCCTCTACAGGTAGATTCACTTTAATTCCAAACTATTGTTGTGTTAGGATATGAGGATTTGAAGCGAAAGGAAGGGAGGGAAAGTAATGGATTAATACACATTTTATTTGAGTATAAGATGGGGGAAGAGGAAACGGGTAAATGGAAGGATCCAATATAATTATAATAAACTAAATCCTTTCAAAGTAAAAAAGATTGGAGGGAAAACACAATCCTATTTATTCTTTCCTTCCCCTTCCATCTCTTTCTATCCCACTGTTTCTTTCCAAATTCACCATATAATAAGTGTTTAAATTTTAGAAAGACATGTAGGTAATAAAAAATTCACCCATACAAATTCTAGCACAATAATATAACGCATGCAACTATTAACAATATCATGAAATGTTATACAAAGTACTTTAACTTTTGAAAATCTCTTCAAACCAGTTTTCATACAAATCGTACAATTCATGCCTATGTTATTTGGACCCTCCTTGTAATCAGAACATATCTTCTCACCATTGGAATTGAGGAACTTAAGTTCAAGTCATTAGAAACCAAAAGTTTTTATCCAACCGCATCTAGTCCTAGTTTATTGCTCTAGTATAGAGACTGTGTTAAAAGAATATTTTAATGATGTATAGATAATTTATCACATTTTCTAACTTTACTTCTAATATTCCTGACAAACATTCCATCTACAGCATTCTACTTCTGAACTATTGATGTTACATTAATAAAAAAGAAACCTCCTATTCACACATGGCCTCACAGCTCACACACAAGATTTTCCAGTAACAAGTTCCTTGTTTAGCATGAACAACAACAATCAAGATATGATAGCAGGATACAGCAATTTATGGGAAATTCTGAAGACATCTGTATTAGCAGTAAAATTAGGGTATCCTTAAGCCTTTAAGACTCAGTAAAAAGGGCGTAGCGCAACATAATGAAATCTTGCAAATTTGAAATGATAGGAAATCAAATGCATGTAGCAAGGAATGCACAAGCCTAGCCAGTCAGACAGGATATCCATCATCATTGACAATTTGAGCAGCCAGGAATTAATTCTTCAAAGGGAAAATAGAATTCCAAATTCGAGCAAGTTATTGCCATATTATCCACAGAACATTATTGATGTCACAGATACATGGAGTAGAATTTTCCAGACTTTTTTCACTCTTAATTGTGTATAAGACCAACACTCATAATAAGATGCGGGGCAATGGAGAAACGAACGACCATTTGACATGTAAAACATGTTTATAAGATTTGAATACCAAAGATTATTAAAGAGAAGCCTCATATTTATTTATAACTTGCACCAATAGGATGCAACGGCATTGTAAACGCCTAAATGATATTGAATTGCAGTACACAGTCACAATTTAAAACGTAAGCAGAAATGTATGCTAAATCTTATGTTATCACAACAGAAGTGCTACATACTTGTGTGAGGCAACAAAGAGCTCTTCATTCTTAGCATCCTTGAGATTCTCTGCACCCAACTTAACTAAGAAAGTTCGCCAATGCAACCGCTCCTCAGCAGGAACTCCATTGAACCTGAAATACAACGGGGGAGTGGAAAGCTAAATGAACAACAACGAATCACCTAAATATTCAGTCGCGGTATTAGTGAAAGCATCAAAGCAGCATAAACTGAGGTTAAGTGGTATTTACACATGATTGCAGATCCTGCTAATTGAACTGACATTCTAACAGTTATCACAGATGACTTAGAAATCAAAAAATCTAAACCCAGATCCCATAAAAGTAGCATAAATCATCTTTTGCACATAAAGCAACAATTGAGACTTGATAACTTCAATCTTAAAAAAACATAAACCCCAAATTTATTCTCTTTAACATTAATCAAGCACAATTCTCATCAAAATCCCTAAATCAGCTCAAATTTAGTGAAAACCCACCTTACACATCAAACTATATACTAGTACAAATTTGCAGGAAATAAAACACACACACAAATTTGGAAAATTAAAAGGATAGTACTGTGATTCAAGAGCAGATCAAAGAAAATCAAATACTGGGTATCCAGAAAAAATTGGTAATTGGGAATAAACAGTACTTGAATTCAGCAAAACTGGGTAATTGAGATCGATAATCAAGATAAAAGGGAAGCAAGAAGCAGAAATCCGAAATGGGTGATTTGCAGATTAACAAAGAAGTAAAAAATTGAATACCTTTCAACGAGAATGTTGCCCTCGGAGTTGGAAAGTAGTACTGCCAGCAACATCTCTTCCTTTGCTCTGTTTTGGAAGAGAGAAAAATGAAAATGAAATTGAAAGATAGAGAATTCTAATTTCTAAAGTGGTCAACTGAAAATGGGGTTTTGTTTGGGAAGAATTGAAGGATGTTCAAACAAAGGGCCTTAGAAAAAACCTCCTTGCGGATTGAAAATTTTATGGTAATCACTATTCTATATTTTTAAGGGTCGATTTCACACAACAATTACAAAACAACGGTTTTTTTTTTTTTCCAATATTCATTGATGGAGTACTTATAAGTAGGGCTGTCATTTTGGGTAAAGGGGTCGGGTAAGAGTGGGCCGGGTCAACTTGGGTCGAGTCAATTGAGATTAATTTCATAACCTATGCGGGTCGGGTTTGGGTTGGGTCATGCTTGAGTCGGGTCTCATCGGGTCATACTTCTTATCGGGTTTGAGTCAGGTTTAGGTCGGGTTAATAACAGTTCGGGTTACATTTGGGTCGAGTGAACAATAGGTCGGGTTTAATTCGGGTTTTCACGAGTTAAAACGGGTTAGGGTAATTCTCGGGTTCGAGACAGGTTCGGTTCAAGTCAATAATTTGCGGGTTAGAATCAGGTCGGGTCATTCTTGGGTTTGAGTCGGGTTCGGTTCAAGTCAATAATTTGCAAATTATAATCAGGTCGGGTCATTTTCAAGTCGGGTCATTCTCAAGATCAAGTCGGGTTCAGTTCAAGTCTAATTTAATCAGATTGGGTCATTTCCAAGTCGAGTTTTTCTCGGATTCAAGTCGGGTTATGTTCAAGTCAATAATTTGCAGATTACAATCAGGTCTTGTTATTTCCAAGTCAGGTCATATTCGGGTTCAATTAATTATAAATAGATAATTATCATTTTTATCAAGCTAATTATTTCCTTTCACTATAATATATATGACAATATACTAGGGAGCTATAGTCTATAATTTAGGAAGATAATTAACTTCTTTGACCATACAACAAATATATACTATATTTAACTCTTAAATTTGAGGATCGATGATGCTCCTTTCTTTTGCTGGCCTGGACCTACTTGGTCTCCCTAGGCAAAATGCCTTGATCAACAATAATAAGGAGGTCTAAATGCATTTAAGATGATTTGAAATCGGGTCAGGAACAATTTGGGTTGAATTTAGGTCAGATTAATAACAAGTCGTGTTAATTTCGAGTCGGGTTAGTAACAGATCGTGTTGAATTTTTGGGTCGCGTAAGTATTAGGTCTGATAAAATTCGGGTTGGGTCAATAATAAGTCGGGTTAAATTTGGGTCAAGTCAATAACAATTCGGGTTGATTTTTGGTCGGGTTAATAACAGGTTAGGTTAGGAACGGGTCGGGTTGAATACAGATCAGGTTAGTAACAAGTTGGGTTAAATTCGGGTTTTGACAGGTTAAAATAGGTTTTGGTCAATTTCGGTTCAAGTCGGGTTCGGTGCAAGATTATTAAATTGGCCGTTGTAAACCGGTAAATCGGTGCAAGTTGTAAACCGGTAAATTGACCGTTTAAAAGGAAATTGGATGGTTCCCCACACCCAATTGGACTTCCGGAGGGTATTAGGGACCATGGTAAACAATTCGACAATTTTTATTTCCGAAAGAAAAAAAGTCAAAAAATTAAAGGCTAATATCCACGCTTTTTGAGAAATTTTGGAGCTTTCGGCGTCCGGTGTCAGAAAGTCTTGAAAATCTATGGGATACATATCGGGGTCATATAATGCCGTTTGGAACCATATATGATCATTATTTGTTGTCATAAATGTTCGTGGTAGGCTTGAATTAATGAAATCAATGCAAGTTGTAAACCGGTAAATTGGTCGCTTAAAGGATATTTGGATGGTTCCGCCCACCCAATTGGACTCCTGGAGGGTATTAGGGACTATGGTTTACATTTCGGCAATTTTTATTTCCACGCGAAAAAAAGTCAAAAAATTCCAAAATTGAAGGCTAATATCCACGTTTTTTGAAAAAATTTGGAGGTTTCAGGGCCCAGTGTAGAAAAGTCTTGATATTTAAGGGGATATATGTCTGGGTCATATAATGCCATTTGGAACAATACATGATCATAATATTTGTTGTCATAAATGTTCGTAGTAGGCTTGAGTTAATGAAATCCGTGCAAGTTGTAAACCGGTAAATTGGCCGTTTAAAGGCAAATTGGATGGTTCCACCAACCTAATTGGACTACCGGAGGGGTATTAGAGACCATGGTAAAAATTTTGGCAATTTTTATTTCTGGACGAAAAAAATTCCAAAATTGAAGACTTAATATCCACGCTTTTTTAGAAATTTTGGAGGTTTCAAGTCCTGGTGTCGAAAAGTCTTGAAATTCTAGGGGATACATCTCGGGGTCATATAATGCTGTTTGGAACCATATTTGATCATTATTTGTTGTCATACATGTTCGTTTTAGGTTTGATCTAATGAAGTCGGTGCAAATTATAAACCGGTAAATAGGCCGTTTAAAGGCAAATTGGATGGTTTCACCCACCCAATTGGACTCCCAAAGGATATTTGGGACCATAGTAAACATTTCGAAAATTATTATTTTCGGGCGAAAAAAGTCTAAAAATTCCAAAAATAAAGGTTAATATTCACGCTTTTTGAGAAAATTTGGAGGTTTTGGGGTCCGGAATCGAAAAACCTTGAGATTCAAGGGAATACATCTCGGGGTCATATAATTTCGTTTGGAACCATATATGATCATTATTTGTTATCATAAATGTTCGTGGTAGGCTTGATTTAATGAAATCGGTGCAAGTTGTGAACCTGTAAATTGGCCGTTTAAAGGCAAATTGGATGGTTCCACCCACCCAATTGGACTACCGGAGGGTATTAGGAACCATGTTAAACATTTCAGCATTTTTATTTTTGAGCCGAAAAAAGGCAAAAAATTCAAAAATTGAAGGCTAATATCCACCTTTTTGAGAAATATTGGAGGATTTAGGGCCCGGTGTCGAAAAGTCTTTAAATTCTAGGGGATACATCTCGGGGTCATATAATGCTGTTTGGAACCATATTTGATCATTATTTGTTGTCATACATGTTCGTTTTAGGCTTGATCTAATGAAGTCGGTGCAAATTATAAACCGGAAAATAGGCCGTTTAAAGGCAAATTGGATGGTTTCACCCACCCAATTGGACTCCCAAAGGATATTAGGGACCATAGTAAACATTTCGGAAATTATTATTTTCGGGCGAAAAAAGTCTAAAAATTCAAAAATTGAAGGCTAATATTCACGCTTTTTGAGAAATATTAGAGGATTTAGGGCCCGGTGTCAAAAAGTCTTTAAATTCTAAGGGATACATCTCGGATTTATATAATGTCGTTTGGAGCCATATTTGATTATTATTTGTTGTCATAAATGTTCGTTTTAGGCTTGATTTAATGAAATCGGTGCAAGTTATAAACCGGTAAATAAGTCGTTTTAAGGTAAATTGGATGGTTTCACCCGCCCAATTGAACTCCCGAAGGATATTAGGGACCATGGTAAACATTTCGGCAATTATTATTTTCGAGCGAAAAAGTCTAAAAATTCCAAAAATAAAGGCTAATATTCACGTTTTTTGAGAAATTTTGGAGGTTTCAGGGTCCGGTATCGCAAAGTCTTGAGATTTAAAGGAATACATCTGTGGGTCATATAATGCCGTTTGGAACCATATATGATATTTATTTGTTGTTATAAATGTTCGTGGTAGGCTTGAATTAATGAAATCGGTGCAAATTGTAAACCGATAAATTGGTCGTTTAAAGGCAAATTGGATGGTTTCATCCACCCAATTGGACTCCCGGAGGTATTAGGGATCATGGTAAACATTTCGGCAATTTTAATTTCTGGGAAAAAAAAAGTAAAACAAATTCCAAAATTGAACGCTAATATCCATGTTTTTTGAAAATTTTGGAGGTTTCGGGGCACAATGTAGAAATTTTTTGATATTTTAGGGGATAAATGTCGGGTTCATATAATGTCGTTTGGAACCATATATGATCATTATATGTTTTCATAAATGCTCGTAATGCTTGAGTTAATGAAATCCGTGCAAGTTGTAAACCGGTAAATTGGTCGTTTAAAAGCAAATTGGGTGGTTGTTTGCTTACATATGAGAAGTATATCATGGTGTTCCATCTTTCGTGGAAGATTCAATTGTTCATGGATGACATGATTGACATCCGTATGTACTTTGGCTCTTATATAAGGGTGAGTTTATCCCCAGACTCGGACCCAGACTTCAGACTCTGCCACATCAACTTTCCACTAACTTTAAAATACTTTTATATTATTCAGATTCATACAAGCCTTTCTCCAAATTTACACATTACCCCAAGACTGATCACTCCAAACTCATTTAATTCTTTTCAAAATAATTTTATTTTTTGTAAAATATCTTTTATTTATTTTTTTAAAAATTATTGTAAACTTTTGGTTGGTGAGGTGGCTAATTTTCATTGGCCTTGCAAAGTCTTGACATGGGTTTGGATTTTCCAAACTCCATGTAAGACTCACATGAGTCTTAGATGAGATTTTTGCAAGAATCTTGAGTAAGACTCATGTTGAGACTTTGCTCAAGACTTGCAATAAACTTACCCTAAATGTAGAAATTATCATGCAAGGTGACTTAGACAGAAATTGTCATAGTTACATGTTCTTACTACAACAGGTGCATGTGCATTAGACATACTCAAAAGTCAAAATCAAAAGAGAGATCGATCATATATATAATTCATATACAAGTACATAAGAAAGAGGGCATAATTTATTTAGTACGAGTACTAGTAATTTTGGGTTATAATTGATTTATATGTATGGTTTTACCATTCATGGTCATGGAAGATTCAATAATTGCTCATGGATGACATCCGTAATTTAACTGTTAATTATATAAACGTAGAAATCAACAACATGCAAGTTAACTTAGGTACAAGCTAGCTTGCATTTTCTTACAATAATAGATGCATTAGACATGCTCAAAATCAAAAGAGAAATCGAACATTTTTATTAAATACTATTTATTATAGGTTGTTGAATTGATGATTCATAGACTACAACCCAGGCTACTTAGGCACCAAACACACCATTTTCAAACTGCGCATATGGCCACCTTGCGCACAACGCATCTGATGTTGCGTTCTGCTCGCAGCTCAGTTGCGACTTCTTCCTCTCACACTGGACCGATGCCATTTTTTCTACCTTCAATATTGTTTACGTATTATTGCATGCATTTATATGTATATAACCCAAGTTAGCGAGAATATTTCACATGTGAGTTATTAAGACTAATTAATTCTCTTACTTACTAGTATTTAAATGAAGAACAATTATAACATACATAAAAAATAAACTAGTAAAGTTTGATAAAATTAGATAAAGTTCGTCGTAAACAACAAATAAAGTTAACACAAATGTTGTTATTGTCAGATTTGTCCAACATATATATATATATAATTTTTTTTTTTTTTTTTGACAAGAGCAAAGGAACTTTGTCCAACATATATATATAGGGTTAAAAATAGTTGAAACTGTAATTTATGAAGAAAAAGAATTTTTGATGTTAGGAATATCACCAAAGGGTAAAAGCTTCCGTTTCATAACAATAAGAAAAAACTATCAAATGTGAAAAATGGAAATACAAAGAGAAGAAAATAAGAAAATTACCTCGGCTATGTAATTATGCAAAGATCGATCACTATAGAGTTGAAGACTGTGTATTAGCTAGTGTGTTGCACGAGTTCTAGACTAAATACACATACTGCTATTTATAGACTTGAATACTTGATGGATGGAAGGGGTAATTATTATAATCATATGACCAAACATAATATAACGAGTGTCAAATTTTGATTGCTGTTCTCGGCCTATAACATACATCCCTTGATTCTTATATAACTCAAGGTATGATAGTACAGACACCAATTTTCATATGTGGTTGGGCACATGGTGTGACCATCTATCATAGCTAGGGGTTATTTCGTTAGTGTGATACGAGGCTATTTAGTTAGTGTTAAAGGAGTTACTTTGTTCGTGTTATAGGGGTTACTTGGAGGTTATTTGACCAATGTTATAAGGATTACTTTGTTTTTTTTTTATAAGTGGTCACACGGTGCGGCACACAAGACGAGTTGATGATAGTATATCACATATCTTAGCTTATTGTGGAGAATAGCTTTAATACAAAGTAAATAATTTAAGTTAATCCGTATGCATCTCTTTAGTATTTTAGTGGCCATACTATATATAATCAATCAAAGATGACTTTAAGACCTAATAACCTCTACTCTCTTAAGTTATAATAGAGTAATATAAATATCTACTTTGTATTTTTTTTAAATAAATTTAATTAGGTGTAGATAGAAACTCCGAAATACACAACAATATATAATATAGAATTAAGCTAAAAGTAAGGATCATAATCTCATTACCCTCATTAGATCATGTCTAACATGATCCCACTATTATTATGACTCCAAAAATACAAACTAATTACTTAGAAGAGCATATTTCTATTCATCGAGAGTGAACCAACCACTAACAATTTAAAGTAATATTCCAACACAAACTCGCTCCAATATACTATTCCGTATAGTATAATATAATATAATATAATATAATATAGCCATGTAGGGCATTGGCACCTAATACGTGAACGTGCTAATAATTTAATCAAGAATCAAAAAAGAAAATGGAAGCAAAGAATTGGTATCGAGTTCTTGCCTCCATTGGACTAATGGTACTTTATTATTGGAGCATCCGTAAATTTTCTAATAGAACCATTTTTTCATCCTCAAGTTTTTATTGAAGAGGATACTCCATAAATTCGAGCTAGTTGTCAATAATAATTTTAATATTATTCACAAATAGATTAGAGTTATGAGAGAATGTAAGGATTTGCTTGCAAAATATTTCGTAAATAAAATGTCTAGCTACATGCTTTTCATTGGAGAGCAAAAAAATTGAACAACTTGACTGTAGCCCAAACAAACTACATATGTATAACTAATTTAATGTTTTGCAAACTACAAGATGTTATGGCTCAAATCACCGTTGGAATACTTTGTACCTAAAAATTATTGTAGCTTTAAAACTGATATGGCAAAGCTTATCATCATAGATGCTCTTAAACAATGCATATTCGAATGATTTTAATTTTACACTATTTAAATGTTAATATTTAACATGAACATCGATAAATTTACCACATTCAAAGATATTATATTGGTACGTCTTTGTAGCAATGCGCATCACATATGTTGAGCAAGTCTTATTTATTAAGAAGAGAAAAAAAAATCAAAGAGAAAGATAATAAGACATAAGAAAACTAGAAAAGAGGGCCTTTTTATTTAGTACTAGTAATTATAAGTTAGTTGTACGTGGAAATGAACCATGCGTATAAGCTAGCTAGCTTGCATGTCCTTACGTACCCGTACAACTGGTTGGTTAGTTCATATTGATCCCGTTATTATATTTGCATTGTTGATATTAGAAGACTAATTATGTTGATATTACATACAATTTGAAAAAATGAACCGATCATATTATAATTATCATCATTAGAATAATATGATAGTTATATTTCAAACAACCTCAGTAAAAACATCACATTCAAAGATATTATTTTGGTGCATGGTAGTAGCAACATGCATTACACAATATGTTAAGCCATGAGCAAGTCTTTTTTACTTAAGAGGAAAACAAATCATAGAGAAAGATCATATATATATAAGAAAAGAGGGCATTTTTTTATTTAACACTAGTTAGTTGTACATGGAAATAAACATGCAGATATAAGCTAGCTAGCTTGCATGTCCTTAAATTACGTATACTCGTACAACAGTTAGGTTCGTTCATAATGCCCTTAGCTTAAAGAAAAACAACCACAAATTATAAAAGAACTAACCAGACCAGAAGATTATATATCAATCTAATGGATCGGACTTAGTACATTATTATTATTGTTATTATTATTATTATTGTTGTTGTCGTTGATGATCATCGTATGGAGTTTGTTTAACCAGTGTAGGCGACGGCAACTGCAGATCCAGCTGAGTGACCAACAATGGTAGCATACATTGAGGTTCCAGTCCCCGAGTCATTAGCATAAGCGATAAAACCGGATTCATTCAATTTAGCTTCAATCTGATTCCAGTTGATGTTGTTGAACTTGCTTATAGGGCCACAGTCCGCATAAGCCTAATCCCAATTTAATTTATTGCAAGGAAGCATCAAACGAATTGAAAGAATATGAGATCCAGTTAGAGGACCGGCCATACAATCATGTACTATTATGTATATACTACCTCTGTTAAATGTTATGTGTAACTTTGGGGTATTATTTATGAGATATAAAATATTACAAAGTTACACATAACATTTAACATTTAACAGAGGTACGTAGTATAAGCAAGATTAAAAATACAGATTGAAATGTACATACTGACCTTCCTTCCATCAGTGTCAGACCAAGCAAGAAGCCAGCCACATTCAAGACCAGCGCTGTTCTTGCCAACATAAACCACCGCGGCCTTAACACCCCCGAACAAGGCTGCTTGAGCAAAGGAACCCAAGCTTTCAAGAGGATCTGAGTAGTCTGAAACGGTATACCCCTTCCATTGCTTGGAGTTAAACACGGTCAAGGATCCCTTAGAAGTCTGATTTGTCAAGGCACCGGCTACTGCAGATAGTCGTGCTGCATCAGCGTCAGCCTTGTTTAGGCATTCCTTTTCAGCAACGATTGCACGGGACTTTTTCGCGATATCCTCCGAAACAAGTGATTTCTCAGCGCATTTGATCAACTCGTCTAAAGTTGCTTTCTGCTCACAGCTCAATTGCACTGCTACTTTCTCCTTCCTCTCACACTGAATTGATGCCATTTTTTTGTACCTTCAATTTACGTCGTACCAGTTAAGCATTATTGCAAAATAATGAGTATATTTTTAGCAAAATAAGTTAATTTCGATCCAATATTAATTAATAAATAAAGATTAGCGCAAACAAATGATTCTAACAAATTTAAAATCATCAAAATGATTTTTTTTCAACTGATATAAATTAATTTCAATAACAATAAGTACAAAAGGTCAATATAACATAATATATAAAACTAGTTGTTTGCGCCGTTAAATAACAATAATTGTTTTTCATGGAATCGTGTTAAGGTGTTAGTACTGTAAATTGTCAAATTCTCATCCAACATAGGGTCAAAACATTGCAATCAATAAATCTAATTTATATATGAAGAGAAAAATTCCCTAGTTTGTGAATATTATTGTACAAAATGGTGCCTATATTATGGGAAAGTTGGGGAGTATGGAATAAGTACAGAGTCTCATGCATGTTTACGTAACAAAAGCTAAAATGAAGAAAATGGAATATAAAGAGAAGAAAATATGGAAATTACCTTTGCTATGTATAGATCGATCACTATTCACTATAGAAGATTGTGTATTAGCTACTGTGATGCACGAGTATTAAACTACATACACATATTGGTATTTATAGACTTGATGGATGGAAGGGAATATTAATGAAATCATCAAACCGAACGTATAAAAGACACGTGTCAGTTTTTTAGTGATGCTCTCAGCCTGTAAGTAGTTCATTATTCTTATCTATTTCAACTTTCAAGATATGTTCATATATGACCTATCTCTGCTTATAGTGGAGAATATCTTTACTATCTCCACGAGTATGGTAAGTGTCCATATTTTAATTCATGTAAGATACCCTCATACCCTTAAGACCCTACTATACTCCCTCTACAAGTCTACATGATTATTAAAGAAAATGTATATATTAATTTTCACATTATTTATTGCATATGTCACTACGCCAAAAATTGGTTTTAATGGCGGTTAAAATACCCTTTAACAGCGGTTACCCAACCGCCATTCATCTAAACGCTGTTAAAAGGATATGACACTTTTAATGGCGGTTGTATAACCGCTATAAAACATTAATCAGAAAAAGTGGAAAAAGTTTTCTATAATGGCGTACTTTTGTAACCGCCATTAAATTATGCCTTTTGCGCCAAAATTCAAATTTCATTACAACCGCTGTTAAAAGGTTCAAACACCAAAATTATAATAAATATGCTTTGATAAATAGTATTATTTTTGTAACCGCTATTATAAGTTTGCAACTATTTAAAAAAAAAATTGAATTACTAAATAATTCAATAATAATATAGCAAAACCTGTAATAATAATAATAATAATTTACAAAAAAGAAAAATGTTCCTTTACAAAATCATCACCTCTACAAAATGTTCCTTTACAAAAAAATATTTTCCCAACACAATTCATCACCTTTACAAAATGTTCCTTTATAAAAAATATTTTCCCAAGATGTATAGTACTTTTTTGCATCGAAACTCAAACTTTGGGAAAATAAGAGTGATTTACTTATAACAACTCTTTTAGACTAGATATGTTGAAACACGTAACGCACCCACTCAAGTCTAACATCATCAAGTTGAGTTTCATCGTAATGGGAATAAGGCTAATATCCACGTTTTTTGAAAAAATTTGGAGGTTTCAGGGCCCAGTGTAGAAAAGTCTTGATATTTAAGGGGATATATGTCTGGGTCATATAATGCCATTTGGAACAATACATGATCATAATATTTGTTGTCATAAATGTTCGTAGTAGGCTTGAGTTAATGAAATCCGTGCAAGTTGTAAAACCGGTAAATTGGCCGTTTAAAGGCAAATTGGATGGTTCCACCAACCTAATTGGACTACCGGAGGGGTATTAGAGACCATGGTAAACATTTTGGCAATTTTTATTTCTGGACGAAAAAAATTCCAAAATTGAAGACTTAAGTTCAAAATTTTGGCTTGGGATAATTTATAAAATACATAAGCTTGTGACAACAAAGAAAAATCCGACGGAATCTTCGAATTCTTATTAATACTATTATTATTAGTACTAACAAAATGGAAAAATCCTTTGTTTATAGTCCAAATAAACTGAATTTTTTTTTTATTATTAATCTTTTCAGGATTTTTTGCATTATTGGAAATGGATTTTTCAATTACATTTTTTGTTGATTCAAGAAAACGTTGTGTATTAATTCTGGAAATATTAATGATATATAAAAATATATCTACGTATATCTTTTCCCTAAAAAATTTCAAAATATAATTGAATTTACGGATTAATCGAACATTGCTTCTTTTTAATATATGACTCGTATTTTTTGACGATTCCCATTTTTTCGTACCATATGGTGTTTTGGTAGGACTAACCTTTAGTTTTTTATTGTCTTTTGCTATTTTTTCTATTTGATTTTTGATTATTCTTGTTCTACTAGTCAGATCTTTCATTTTTTTTTCTGTCGCTGAAGGATTTGTCCAATTTAGGAATCCGGTTTGAATGGATGATTCATTAATCATATGATTTTTGATTAATGAATCTTTTTCATTTTTTCTTTTACTCGATTCTTCTCTCAATCCAAATAGTCGAATTGGATTTACGTTTGACATTTTTTTTTTATTTTTTTTTAAAAACAGAAATATTTCAACAATCCAATTGTTTGTTTCATTTTCGAACTTAAAAAAAAAAAGAATTTTTTCTTTGAGTCTTTTTCGAATTTGAAAGTGCCCTTTTAGAAGTTTTCGAATTTTTTTGTCGAGTTGTTTAAAAATAGGTTGAAAAAAAGAGGGCCGCTTTCGAGGAGGACCAAAAGGAAGGTCAGTTTCCAGGCCCACAACTGTTAAAAAACAAAACTCATCTATTCGATTTCGTTTTTGTTCGTTTTTTTTTATTCGATCTTGATCAGACGGTTGTATTATAGATCTGTGCCAAGGTTTTAGACAGAAAGGAAATAATATCTTTATCTGAATACCATCTGTTAACCAGTTTTTAGGAAATTCAGTTTCTGATAATTGAACGCCGTTATAGGTGCATTTAACATGCATTTCGCTATTCCACTCTTTGAAATCATCCGACCACTCGGGTCGTTGGAATAATAACAGACGACTGAAATTTTTTGCTATTATCAATAAAGGCAATAGAATATATTTTCTAAGAATTGACTGAGTTATTAGCATCAAACCTCTTATTATTTGAGCAAATGGAATAGTATCCCAGGCTTCGGCTATTTCTATTCGTATGTTTTCTTGGCTTTTGTCGTCGTTTTTATTGTATTTTTTATTTTTATTTTCCTCCTTCAATTCTTCGTTTTTATAATAAGAAATCCGCAATTCTGAGTTTTGTCCCAGACAATTTTTTAAAATCCCTTTAATTAATCCGGAAAAAGTAGCCGAAAAAAAAGAGGATTTATCTATTCTGTCTAAAAAAAGCGGAGAATGTATATTTGGTTGAAACAATTCCCAAATAACTATTTTACGTCTTTGAACACGCATGGAACCTATGATTATTTCTCGACGAAAATCAGATTGTTGTGAATAACGTATCAAAGAAACTTCACCTGCTTGCTCAGATATATCCGCGGTATTTGGGGCAGGATTGTCGGTATTCTCTTGCTTATCGGTATAAATAACTACACTTTTCCAATTTCTTGAGCGAATTTGATCATCGATTGGCACCGACACGTCTTTTTCATCTGGTCTATCCTCTGGTTCTAAATCGTCGACTAATTGGTATGACCAACGAGGAACCTCTTTACTTATTTCTTTTATTCCAATCGATTCTTTTGGAATTGTTTGGGGAAAGGAATCCGGTCTGATTGTATCAACTAAAAATTTTAAAAATCTTTCTGGATCTTCGGAAACAATTTGTTCGTGTTTTGAAAGTAAAGACACTCTCTTCTGATTGAACGTGGCTTCCCCGTCAAATTGACTAACGAAATGTCTAATTTTTGCTGATATTGAGTTTTGATCTTTTTTATGTTCAAATTCTTGGTAATTAGAATCATTATGTAGAACACTATGAATTTTATTTATAAAAATCTCATCTATTAAATTTTTTACTGTCGTTTTCGTTATAATGGATGAAAGCCTTTTTTTTATTATACCCCGATAGGATCCATTTAATAAAGGATCGTGGTTTTTTTGCAAATATTCAATTTTATTTTTAGTTTTATCATTGCATAATCTAGTTTTTTTATCGAGTACATCTATATAAAAAAGTCCTTTGTCTAGAACTGTAATTCTATTAGCAAATTCATTGCTTAAGCTGTTTTTTTTTTTGTTCGTTCGTATAAATCCAATAATTGTATAGTTCATCATCATATAAGAATTTTTCTGTTGTAGCCAAAGAAATCTTTCTTTTTATCATTTCCCAGAAAATGGATAAACTAGGTGGATATGTAAAAGAAATTCTTTGTTTTCCATCATTTTGACATGTATAAAAAAAATATTGTGACATTTCATTTCTTACCGCATTTTCAAACCGATTGCTTTTTATATATCGCGTTGGACGATTCCAACGTTTATAGTCGAAAAGAAGAAAAAGAAGGGGTTTTTGAAACCAGAATAGGTTTTTATTTTCTTCTTTAAGTATTTCGAACTTCGAAATATCTTGATTCCCAGAATAAGAAGTTGGGTTATTTTTATAGTATGCTTCTTTTAAGTGCAAGTGCAATTCATCCTTTGTTTTGTCCTTTCCATTCACTCGGATCTTTCCCATTTCATCCATTTTTATTTTGTCCGGATCCTTCTTTTCTTCCGAAAAAAGGGAAGGAGAAGGATCTTCTTCGGTGAATCCCTCTTCTTCCTGTTTAGTCTCCTTCGTTTCGGAAGTTTTTTCTATTTCTACATCTGTTTCTTCCTCACTTTCTTTCGTTTCTGGAGTTTCGTTCAGTTTCTTAGTAAAAATAGGTGACGGCATTCTGCCTAAATAGTAGACACAGGTAATAAAGAAGAGAATACTAAAGATTCGAGCCATAGAATTTCTCAATTCTGACACAAGGTACTTATTAGATCTAATAGAATGATTTTGCTGTATCCAGACTAATACCAATCCAACCCATTTCATGAATAAAATGTGACCAATTAACCAACCAACAAAACTACTTGTTACAAATAGCATCTTGTTGTTGCATCGAAACATATAAATGTTGACTAATCGGGCTAACATTGAACTTGGTAAAATGAAATAGTTGAATAATTGAAAAATGAGATTATTCAGGAATACACATTGAATGCTGAGATTACGCATTGAATTTCTGCTAGTCGATCCATAATCAAAAAAGTGTTTGTGATTGTTCCAGAAGAAATGAAACAAAAGATAGGGTAGAGCTAGGACAGTTATTGTATGAGGTCTACCCAATGCTAGATGCAGGGGCGTATAATAGATCGATATGAACATCATGAGCTGTCCCATAATAAAACCAGTTGTTGCTGATACCTTCTTCTCGATTCCTTCTTCTCCTTCTTCCATAACCTGAGTTCGGAGAAGGAAGAGATAAGAGGGCCCTATGGAAAATGTGGTCAGAAATCCATAATAGAGTCCGACCACAACGACCGAATTGATTATCTTCATGCATAAGGATACTAGATTACCTAGTAGAAAAGATTGAAAAAAATATCCACGCTTTTTTAGAAATTTT